TTGTATAATGCTGTATGAACCTCAGAAATCCCCCACTGAAAACTGTTCTGAGTGAAAGAGAAAATAGAATGTTGTGATTTTATTTCCTATATTTATTTCCAGTTGAGTGATTAATTATAAAGCACTGCTAGCTGTGAATGATTGTATTATACCTGTGAAGGGTGACCAAGAGTTCATGCAGGAACTGCTGTCATGACAACTAACTATTAAACAACCACCATTTTGAATTATTAAATAGCCACCTTTGACTCTTTTCAACATTCAGTGCAATGATTGTTGTTACTGGCTCGACAACATTTCATCGGTAACTTCAAATTTATTTTTATCACTTTCATTGAAATGATAAAATAAATCGGTGAAAATAAAAATGCAGAAGATATACTAATTTGCCTGAGGTTTGCATGTAAATCATGACAAACATGTAAAAATAAATTACATGTGTCAACCATAAAATTGATTACGTAATAACAGTGAAAACTACATCTCCTACATTACATGGTATTCAAATCCAGTGCACCTTTATCTCAAAAACCACAGACATCTAGACATGAATGTTACATATAGTGCTTAATCATAAATAAGCAATTCACAGCTTATTTGTCTAGTTATATAGTATAGTAGTTTGTTGCTCTGAGGTAAGAACGATAGGTCTTCATCTCACATGCACATGTGTATGTGTGAACTAAAAAGAACAAAGCCCACTTGGTGAGTGTGACAATATACAATACAGATTTCCACCCATTAGCATTAGCCTTTTTGCAAATTTTATTAATAAAGTTAAACAAAAAAAAATCTTGCTCAATACTAGATTTCACTGCACCTGCCTGATCATATTTTCAAATTTTTTTTTGATTTGTGCTAAAAAAATCATGTGCAACTGTTGCAACACTCAAGATTTCGCATATGCCAAAGTCATCAGTGTGTTTTCCCAACTGAATTCATAGTCATTGTTCACCGCCAGTGATTGGCTGCTTCCATGTTTGCAATACTGTTTCTGACGTTTCTGTATGGCGTACATCATTTAAAGATTGGTATTAACATTCAAATTGTTAGCAAAAAAAATTAATCATGCTTTACTTTTGACATTCGCTCAAAATTTTGATGAACAGGATTTTTTTTGCCTGAAGACAGGGTTCTCAGTTAAATTAGAAAATCTGAAAAAAACATTCAGGGTTTTCCCTAGCACATTATAGAGTAGGGGTTCTCCACTATTAAATTTTGGATAAACAATAGAACCAATTTAGCATAACAATGAGTACAATAAAGGTAATTTACACAGTCTATTGTTATGTAAAGTTGCCCATACTCTATTTTACTTTTTCTGTGGAGAACACAGACATTCCTCCCAATTTCATGCATTTTGTATCAAAAAACACCTGGATTTAGGTTGGTTTTCTGAGATAAAATCACAAAACTTGTCAGTGGTAAATCGCATTAGAGAATATACAGTACTGAATCCCATAAATCAACTTACAGTTCATGATCGAGACAGATGGCAGTGAATGCTTATAGGCTTAGTCACTGTACACACCAAAATGTATTTGTTTAAGGTAGTCAAGTAAAGCAACATAAACAGAAATTGGTTGAGGTTTGTTGTTGGGTGACATGAAGTGCAGAGTTGGCAATTTGTAGTGACAGTTATTATCGCTTACATTTATCTTCGCTCACAGACAGACAAAGCAATCACAATGACATGTGATGTAAATGCAGCGATACAATTACCACATAATGGTTATTAGTCACTTCAATTCACAATATTGTCATATATATTGTGATATGCAAGGTGTATTACAATTTATAAGAGTTACTGTTTGTGGTGTTATTGAACAACAACTTCAGTTATGTTCTACCACAATATGTGGGTTAAATATTGCACAGACACCACTCAATTATAAGACAGTGAAAAATACGGCACTGTGAAGACATAAATTATTAACTGGGTTTTAATTTTTGCTATTTTCGTCAATAAGTAAAATCCACTTGAATATGTAAAATAATAATAAAAAGAACTCATTGTTTCTCTGCCAAATTTGTGAAATTAAAAGCCAATGAAAAGGCACAAACATCAAAATTGCGAAATTAAATACCAGTGAAAATGTTTTACAGTAATTTTAAAAAATTTGGAATAAATCTGCAAAGTGGACAGTCAGTAGATAACATTTATCTATGGGGATGGTATATTTTTTCCTGAGATTTTGATCAAAAAAGTTTGTGGCTAAATAAACATTTTCAGTACTTCTAAGTTATATGATATCTTGCATTATGCGTGAACTGAAAGTCAGCAACAACAATCTAATGATTTGATTTTTTACTGTTCATATTGTTTCGAACACCCAAACATCAACATTGCCAGCTAAGTTGCTGACTGGTTTGTTAAGCACGTCTCGAGATTGTTGTGTTATTAGAACTGGTTAGTTCAAACCACTGTTAAGAGGGTGCACCCTTCGGCTAAAATGACATGCACTTGACACACCATTGCCGGTGTCCAGACATTTCATACTGTGTAAATACATAACTTTGCCATTTATTATATAGAAATGTACAAGATTAAATAAAATATATTGAAAAGCTATCACATTGTGATCTTCTATTTATATTCCGATGTGTCTTAGTCCCTCACTATTAGTTCGACGTCTCCTGTTCAGGTTGGATTGACCTTACTTGTTCTAATCGCGTAACGATCGCCAAGCGCACTTAGCAAACCAGTCAGCAACATAGCTGGCAATGTTGCTATTTTGGTGTTCGGAACAATATGGCGATGACAGTAACTTGAATTTGTTTTTTACTGATCAATGTCAAATACCGATCTTTAAGAGGGGTACATGGCGATGTGATACCTTTACTTCATAAAAATTGCATGTAATCAAATGTGTATATACGCCGGTAGAGCATTATTGAGTGTGAAAATAACCAAAAGAACCTTCAATGTTTGTCAAGTCTCATGTGATGTTTTGACGTTACTATAACAACAAGATTTTTGTTTTGTTTTGCATGGCATGAATCTTAAAGTTTGGGTAAATGGTCTATTATATTCTGTCACATACAGTATGTCTATTTAATGTAAGGGTAGATATGTAGGCAATTTGTATTATGATAAATTTTAAATTACAAAAACCCATGTGAATGTCAAACATTATGTAAATTATTTATTTTCAATGCAAAATATTTTCAAAAATTGATAAACCTGACAGAAAGTCACTGTGCCGTTTTTACTTCATGCACATTTATTTGTTTGGTTTTCCGATTCTGACCTGATTCTCCCTCAACAAGAATAATGGTTCATTCTCTAACTACTATATAACACTTTTACTCACAATAACTGAAAAAGAAAATTTTGTGAGTAAAAGGGAAATTTTGTAGTTAAACCATAGTTTTATTAACAAATAATGTACATACTAGGTTTTAACAAAATCTGTCTATGCATGACCAAGATCTTAATCCAGAAATGCTGGATTTGATGAATTTTTAACATTAAAACAATTTTAAATCGACCACTTAATAGAATCGGATCACTAAATGAATAAATATGCATATGATGTATATTAAAAGTTTGAACATAATCGGTCAGAGAATGTCATTGATTTAGCTCCAGAACAGGATTCGTTAAAACAAAATGGCCACTGATCAGCCATTCTGAATCCGATCTGAAATACAATATGATTTCCAATAATGTATATACAAAGCCTGAACAAAATTGTTTCATACATAACTGAGATCCAGTTCCATAATGGCAGAAATGTTTGATTTGATTAATAAGCACAAAAATGACCACCGTTCGGCCATTTTGAATCAGACCGCAAAACCAATGTATGTGCACATTCATCCCAAGATGCATGATGGATGAATGAAGTATGAATGTAATCGGTTCTGAAATACAGGTGAAGACGCACATGGATACACAAAGGTCAAAACATAAGTTCCCATTCTTCGGACTTTGGCGGAACAAAGACTAAAAATGAATTATGAATGATAAGGCCTAATATAAATACATATAAGAAGATACCAATTAAAAATAGGGATGGTACTTACAAGAATCCAGGATCACATTCCATACAGGCTACAGTATTGCTATCCCAATACTGACCAGCAGTACAATTGGAAGAATCACACTGGCCATTAACTGCATCTAAAGAGAGTGAAAACAACAATTGTCATAGGTGCCTTAAATTTATTAAATCAGGGCTTGAAATTAACACATTGTGTTAGAAATCTGCTGGGTTACCATTTTGAGAACAGGAATTCCCATATAGTCATATTGGGTAGTCCATCAGTAGGTACTGACACCCATGCAAAAAAATGTCAATAGAAATAAATAAACATCATTTGGCTTAGCCTTTTCACCACCAGTTCTCTCTTTTCATCACAAAATATTCCCTTATAGGACAAAAATAGTCAAATTGTTTGAGTAAAAATTGATAATTGACTCAAATTTTGTATGTTGACTCTAAATTTCCAGAAATATATATAAGAGTATAAAAAATAAGTGCAGAAATCATTCAATATGTTGTGATGTTGACATACCCCCCCCACCTTCTTTTCTTTTCTCTTTACTTTATATTCGTATTCTTATAAATATTTCATTACCATGGACTTTTGTGTAGAAATTGTACTTTTTTGATGGGATAATTTTATGTATTCATATATGTGGTTAACTTAAAAATAAAATAAAATATAAGAAAAAAGAAAAAAAAAGTGCAACAAAATTTGGGTGAGATTGTCTAGCTACTAGTTTTGGAAAATGGTGGCCCTAGTCTGTGTGCCTTGGACTACTGTAAATTTCAGCCTTGGTTAATTATTTGCAGATTTTAATTTTGTTGTTTTTGCTGGAAAGTAAAATTCTCTAACTTAAATCAACATGAACACGTAAAATAATAACCTGCATTCCATCCAGTGGTTTGTGTATTTCATTGTACACAAATATACCACACGAGATATTTGGCAAAATGGCTTACTTATTGTGAGGCTAATACATGTATAAGAAAATCCCTTTGTGCCAAAAAATAAGTCAATATTGATCTGCAAGAAATTTTTTTTTCATTTTGAAAGCTATATTTTTATAAATTTATATGTTACATTACATTTATAAATTTTCATAAAATATATCAAAATCCAAGATATATTTTCTTCTGCCATCTCATTCATTTTGAACTTGATTAATGATCAGGCGTTAAACGTTTTGGTTTTTATTTTTTCTCTCCACCGCCAAATGTCCATCCAAATAAGGATTAAAATTCAAGATGTTAAATACATATTTCTAACAATAACAGATTCATCCACAGTAAAACATTTAAATATAAAATCCAGAGAATTAAGAATAGTGAACCTGTGCAGATTTAAGCAAAAATATGGTGTAAATGCAGAATTTAATCAGTTCTGTGTAACCTAGATACCATATTTTTCAGTTTTGGTCTAATATAAAATTACATATTATTTATGACTACATACTAATAAAATTGTTATGAATTCTCAATATTTTCTGATATATCATTTTCTGTTCCCTGGGCCCATGATGTACTTGACTAACATTAGAAAAGGTTGAAATATGACAGGAAAAAAATTACCCTGCAAAATATTTTTCTGCAATTAAAAACAGATTATCCTAATTATTTTGAGTTAAATAAGATGTGAACAAACATTGTCAGTTGCCTGGATACAACCTGAATGAAGTGTTTCCTTCAAAATATTTCCTTCACAAGACAATGTTCACCTTTAAATAGGGTGCCTTAAAATTACTGAAGATCAAGCCAATCTGTATGCAAGTTATACTTATTTTCAATGCTTATTAAAGGAGAAAATTTAACATCCACATAGAAATGCAACATTCCATTTTCAAAGCATTTAACTTGATAGAAGCTAATAGGAAATGCACTTCCCTTACTAAAGCCATTTGCTTTTAAAAATATATTTAGGCCAACTCAGACATGTACTAAATAACAGAAGTACACCCAGAATGTGTTGTTATTTGATAATAGCACCTATAAATTGACCTGAACCATCCCACCCAAATAAACATCTCAAAATATGACATCCAGCTGAATTGAGATAAAGGGGTGGGGTTCTAAATTGTTCAAATCAATAAATGTACTCAATAAATAAATATGATCATTCCACCAATGTTGTATTTTTTTTATTTCAATTACTTCCTTACATGTAGTGAATTACTTGCCTTTGCGATTGTATTAATTAAAGAAATATATTCTGAAAACTAACTTAGATGTCATTTTTTTTACCTCTGTAGTTAAATCAAAGATCTGAAAAAACATTTTTTTTTAGTCTATGGAATTGGTTAAATCAAGATTATGTTCTCACAAAAACCTGATCTAAATATGATCATTCCACCAATGTTGTATTTTTTTCATTTCAATTACTTCCTTACATGTAGTGAATTACTTGCCTTTGCGATTGTATTAATTAAAGAAATATATTCTGAAAGCTAACGTAGATGTCATTTTTTTTACCCCTGTAGTTAAATCAAAGATCTGAAAAAACATTTTTTTTTAGTCTATGGAATTGGTTAAATCAAGATTATGTTCTCACAAAAACCTAAGACTACAATTAATTCGAAAAAAAAAAATAATAAAATAAAATAAAAATCCCTGCCTGCACACCTAATTTGTTTAAGTTAGGCCTAAAAATGACTTTATATCACAAGTCAAGACATATTTTATTCTACCAGATTGACTTGACAGTAGACAGTCTGACCCAGAATAATACATTTTTGGGGACATTTCCATATTTTCAATATACTGGATGAATTAATTTATTAAGTGTCTGCTACAATAAAAATTAATCGATATGAAGTTGTAATACAGTATTTGCTCTATTAGTAGTGCATTACCTAAATGACAGAGGTGTGTCTGTTGTCAAAATAAGTTGTACATTATTGAGTCAGCATAGCATAAATACAATTTTGAGTTATGTGAACTTCTATTAAAGATGTGCTTCTGATAGAGCAAATATGATACTTAGAATTGTTACCAATTGTGATTTTGAAATAATTATAATTATAATTATAAATAATTAATTAATGTGACAAACTTTTAGTTAAATTTTGGAACATTTCTATTTTTTTGAGAAAAATTCCCAAACTCACTAATGCACTGTGAAATGTTATATTTTAGTGTCAAAACGATAAATGCACTTCAAAAAGGGTAGGGTAGGTCAGCTTTCAAATTTGTTTTTACAAATTTTTGTCATCATCACTAGCTTGCTGATTACTCATGCAGTCAAAATTCTGGATAATAAAATCAGTTTCATCTCATTGAAACCTTGTTTGATTTTGTAGCGTTTTTTCCATGTTTGACCAAAAATAGTTTTGGGTAGACACTAAATGCTACTTGTAGGTAGGAAAACCGTTCTTATTTTTTTAGTAGGCCTAATAGCTAATTAAAAGTCTACTCTTGTGGCACAGTTCAATACATCATATCAATTTCCTTCACAATCATTCACTATTATGCAACAGACTTTTCATTTCTACCAACTGTAACTTAATATTCTTTGCTGTACACTCACTATACAGCTATGAATAACAATTTCCGATTTAAAAAAAAATCCTGAAAGGTTTAAATACACATGATCCGTTATTGGATTTTCAATACAGAACGAAGTATGAATATCTAGTCTTACATTTTCACTCAAGACTTATAAAAAGAAAAGCAAATACAATGTTATTGACTGTGCAGTAAATGGTCTGTCTAAATTTCCAAAGACTGAATCGATCCAGTCATTTCATCTATGGAAAAAAAATCTATCTAAGATGAGTGTCAATGATTAGACTTTTTTACTTAATCCTGCTTATAAAATGAAAGGCACAAATAAATGTTATTGATTACAGTGGAAGGCAGAAAGCTGTTTTAGTTTAAAAGCATATTTATAACAATTTTTAATTACCGATCAACAGCTTTCACTTAAATCCAAATATTTAAAAGGCGGCAGTTGTTGTGTCGCCTCCTGTTCAATATGGGACTCATAGCGATGCATACAACGCATGTAAACTACATTGTTTATTTACATAAAATTCGAACACATGCTGCGCGACGACCACCACGCTTTAATAGCCATTTTCTCAAGAGCTCAAAATTGCCCAATTTTTCGTGCACATGCCTTCATATGACATAACAACTGTGACCACCTACTTATTCGAAATGTTGAGCTTGCTGATTAGATAATGTTGAACTAACTCCGTAATATTAGAATTAAAGATAATATTACAATACAATTTCCAGAGGTGCTGCATTGAAAAGCCCAAAATGTATGTACATCATTGATCAAACTCAACCAACTTTTCCCATGCAAGTCAAAGATTAAAAAGTACAGGAGAAATAAAAGTGTATGCAAATAGAGGTCTTAATGTCCAAAACAGAGGGTTCCTGTCTAATGCTGGTAGTACAGAAAAATTGATTTAATTCAATTTTTGATATCATTAGGGTAGCCTACTTTATAGGACAGGTGATTTGAATACTAATAGTACAAATACGGTATAGCAAGACCATGTATTCTGTTCTATTATGTAATGAATGCCTATTAAATCAATACCATTGCACAGGCAAAAGGTCCACATTTCACAATTTATTTTATTTTTTTTTAAACTGATAACTTACCCAGATAAACAAACAAAAGCTGCCAAGAATTATGATAATTATTTTTCCAAAACTGAATACCTACATAGGCCACCTGTTTGAATTGCAAAATTGAATGTACTACCGGCGTACATACAAAACTGGCGTAAGGTTATATCATCAAACGGTGGTAATCCGTCAAAGTTATTGTGATCGTCAACACAAAATCAAAACTAAATCGATTTTAGAAACGACTGTATTTTATTATTTTGAAGCGCAATTGTGTGGTTCCAAAAGAATTACAAAAAATCCGAATCGTCAAATGGAACAATACTTTTTACGACGATTAATTACTTAATCTTTAGCGTTGGTGAGTTTAGTGAGGGATGTTTGTGTTCGTTAAAAAAAGTCACAAAAATATCAAAACTAGTTGACTCGACACGAGTTCTTAAATGTGGCTATGTTTTCATAACGTTTTGAAGGACACTAATGGGAAACAGAAAGGAAATGAATCGCCATTGAATTTAAAATGAGTAACTTACCTGAAACCAGCAGAAGCAATGTAAATATAGCAAAAATAGACTTTCCTATGTAAATATGGGATACGGAGGGAAAATTTCCAATCATTTTCCTAACTATTTATATAAATAAATATGGACGGCGAGTTACAAAGCGGATAAATTCTTCGTTACATGGTCCTCTTTGAACGGCATCCACTTGTCGATGCGATCATCCGTCAAGTCGTTCTGATGTTTTTAGCGGTTTTTCAATGGCAAGAGATACTGCAATTACTTTCCCTTGGCTGCTTATAATCCCAGTGTTTGTGATTTCGGTCGGCACAGCAGAAATGTCAAAAAACCGCAGCGTTTAACCGCCGTGTGCGTCGATTCAGTTTACACAGTACGTCTTGAGTTTCACAACTTTCCTTTCCGTCAACCTTCAGATGCCCTTTATAACGAGCTCTCTGATTGGTCCGCGACAAATATTATATCAGTGATATATAACACAAATATTCTCGTGAAGTATTGCCATTCATAATGTTGTTCTGAAACCCAAAGTTTATTAAGATATGTTTTCGCATTTTGGCATGTTCTAGACATTTGATGGAACAAGTATTGAAAATAAACCTCTCATTTCAGCGAACCAATCACCGATAGCGATAAGAAAAAAAAGCTGACCCGCGTCAATGACAGGATTGCTAATTTACATATCATGGCGGTGACGTCGATGATGCCACTCTGTTACTAGGCAACTGTTGTTTACTTTAGACCGCCACTTAACAAAAGGGTGATAAAAACCCTTTGATGAAGGGAGTTTATCTCAGTTCATTGTACTCTGCACAAAACAAGTTGAAATTCAGCGAAATAAAGAAATGGCAAATATTCAGAAATATACTAGTAAATGCACCTGGACGCCTGCCAGGCAAACAAATTGCGAAATAATTAATTTTAACTCAGACTCCATACCCTATTAGAGTATAGTTTAAACCACAAAGCAAGGGGGTTGCACGGTAGCCTATGCGAACATAATTTGAAATGGGTGTAATTGAGACATCATAATAGCAGTTAGGGCGGGTAACTGCTTCGTCAATAACGATTTTATTGACAAAGCCACAGCCATCGCCAGACACACCCCGGGCATACGCACACACTCCCTCGGCTATTTCAGTTTTCGCTTCCAATGTACATGGGGTTTATAGGTAGTCGAGTAATTGTCGAGTTTGCTAACAGTCACAAGTAACTACGGTATATATCATTAGAAGTAGAAGTAAAGCTCCATGGTCAAAGTCGTAAATTTTTACAATTTTAATTTTTAAACACAAATTATCAAATATATTATAAAAATGTAAAATATAATTAGGAATTTACATTATCTGTGAAGCGTAAAAACTATTTTTTACTATAAATGGAACTTTCATTTTATTTTCTGTAAAAACGTAGAATACCTTTTTTTATTTCCTTTAACCTGTACCAGGTACCCCACCCCCTATTATTACAAAAAAGAAACAATTAAATATCACTGTAAAGAAATTGCATGGAGCGAATTTGCATAATGTGAACCAAAATTGTACATTTTCAGAAAACGAAAAGCAATTCTCAAAGTTCCGGCAAATCTCTGGGATAATTTGTACTAATACAAGATGTATAACTTATGAAATAAATTCGACTTTTATTTCCGCTTCGTCACGTTTGATAGCGTAATGTACTGTTTTTTTACCTGTTTTTTTCCGTATGTTCAAGCAATGGCCCTCAACGCCATTTTGGATGTATGTAGTATAGACTGCCACTAGCGGGCGCCATACCTCAACAAGAGAGCAAATCATGAGCTAAATATGACAAGCTGAAATGAATAATCTGTTCAATTTAGCGAATATATTGTCCGCGAGCTAGCAAAAGATACAACTATATATGACATTACTCGGACACATCGCCCTCCGCTGTGCGTCGGTCGATACTTCGCTGTACTGTCTTCGTGCATACTTTGCAGTATCCTCGTAATAAACTCATTATTATACATCTTTTCCTCCCTTGAATATTTCATGGAAATGCCCAAATCCCCCAAGTTTAGAGCAGATTTAGCGAACTTCTAATCATTGTGTGGGGTACGGTCAAACTCTGTTTTGTTTTCTCATTATAATTAGAGGACGATTACGAGCGTAACGGTCCATATTTGGAATTCGCATTTCATAATATGGTAGGATGAAAATACCCAGTGCAATACCGCAAAATTACGGCACGCTGTAACTTATGAATGATTTATGTCGCATTATTTTGTATGCTTGTTTACCTTCTTACAGGGTATGTAGCCTTTCGGCATATTCACTTTTCGACGTGTCAGTATATATATTCGTTTTCGGCATGTCGGTATACATATTCACCTTTCGGCGTGTCGGTATATATATTCGCCTATCGGCATGTCTGTATATATTCGCCTTTCGGCATGTCTGTATATACTCACCTTTCGGCATGTCGGTATTATATAGATATTCGCCTTTCGGCATGTCTGTATATATTCGTCTTTCGGCATGTCTGTTTATATTCACCTTTCGGCATGTCGGTATTATATAGATATTCGACTTTCGGCATGTCAGTATATATTCGCTCTTCGGCATGTCGGTATAGATATTCGCCTTTCGGCATGTCTGTTTATATTCACCTTTCGGCATGTCGGTATAGATATTCGCCTTTCGGCATGTCTGTATATATTAGCCTTTCGCCATGTCTGTATATATTCGCCTTTCGGCGTGTTGCTTGCGTTATGGACGCTGATGACGTTCTTGTGCAACAGCAGCGTGCGATGTAAGTAGACAATACGTGTTTAAATGTCAGTATATTATTGCGCCGTCGCGTTAATTTTGTTGTATAAATCGTGTAGTTTTAGATGTCTTTCAGATACAGGATTGGAAGGCCGAACTTAGCAACCCAGTGGATGACTTCTGCGACACTCTGTGATGTTGGCGTCTAGAGCCGGTAATGCGTTAATCAAGTACACCGGCAGTTGGCTCAGATGGAAACAAAGGTGCAAGTCAAATCTGACAGAGGGCGTCGCCTCTCCACCTAGCCGTTGCACATCATGATTGCTATGTATCTTCGGATTTTGTTAGACGACGCGAATACAGCTTCGCCCCTGGATTCCGCTTTGTGAAACCATAACTAATTTTTTTGCTCTCCTGGGTACTGCAACCACCGCATTTCATGCTTGTTGTGTAATTTGTATGAATAATTGAAGTTGAGTATAGATTGAGAAATTATCTGCGTTTCGTAGATTAGCAGATAACTGCTATCTATTCGTATGTAAATTATCCAGGTGCCACTGCACCCTCCGATTGGTTAGTGGTTAAGTAGCCAGGTGCTCATGAGTATATAGTAAGAAGAGTATTCTATTGTATTCAGTCTCAGTTGCAAACAACTCACGATGTATTTTTTATTTTTATAAATGTATAGTTTTCTTAACATGGACGACTCCCGACGTCTACCCCTAGGTACATCTGACATTGCGTCGGGTACAGGTTTCCAGATGTTTTTCTCCCTTGACGGGTTTTTGTATCTGTTTTTTCCTGGGCGGTCGATGTATTCGCGATGGGGCTTTGGCATCAATTTCGTGTATATTTACATATGTAAGGGGGGGGGGGGTAAATACACGTAATAAACGCGTGTGGCTCCTGGGTGCTGCAACCACCGCATTTCATGCTTGTTGCGTAATTTGTATGAATAATTGAAGTAGAGTATAGATTACATGTACTAGCAGCGAGGACTTGCTAGTAGTTCGACTCCGCCCTCAACTTGATAAGCACGATCATAATGCAGGACTAAAGTTCATAGTAACGTTGACGATCAGATGATGGTCGACCCCTGAATGCAATCATCAGAGATTGCAGTATCGAGATATGTTGACCTTATTACTGTAACTTAGTTACAATACCGAGAAAAAGAATGTACCATGGCCATACTTATTCTTGGAGGTGGATATCCGTGCATTTTCACCGCATGGCAACCATTACGGTGAAAACAAAGGCTGACAACTCTCAGAAAACGGTACTTTGAGATGGTTGTTGAGACTTCCCTGAACAGTGTAACAAGATTACCCCTGCGTGTGTAACGCATATAAATTTGATTGTTCAGGATTATTTCAAAGTGGAGTTCCTGTTTTCTCGAATTTTCACCGGCTCTGCGTTCCGCGTTCCTCAGCAGCGCCGCAGAGCCCATAGAAATACATGGTACAGTGTGTGAAACCAAATCGTGCAAATCCAACTCTCCCGAAATTAACTCGCTCAAAACCAATTCACCTATTACAAACTTGCATCAAAACTCAATGATGCATGTCTCAAATACACCGCATGACAAGCACAAATCAATCGTTAATTCATAGTGCATGTGTGTTGAGATACTGGTACGTACCATTAATACGCGTTACACGTACCCAAATTTTTCACCAACTGAAACATGTGAGTATTGCACACTGTTCTAATTCCGTTAATATAGAAGGCGTAACAGTGTTAATTGCTCTGAGACGTAACTTCCATGGCGCCATTGTGAAGTTTATTCCGTGTTTCGCATAATGCCGATTTCGAATTGCCAAATAGATCTATTACATTTTGACACAATACAATGTCTGCCGCGTGTTTTGTTTCGATTTTTGCCTCAGAGTCGCTATATTGTCACTATATTTCAGTATGAACCTAGACAGACTTAAGACATGTTAATATCACATATATTTGTTCAAATTAGTTTAAGCAATTTATTGTAAATTGTTTAAAAAAATCAAACTACTGTAAATACAACGTTCATTACCAGCGTCACCACGTGACCATGATTGGATATCTGCAATGCTACATTTATTCTATCTTTATTATTTGTAAGATAACCCTTCATCTAAAAATGTATACAAAAATAGAAAGAAAGAAATGTGCAATAAATTTAAAAACACTGTAATTTGTCATTGTATACATGTGCGGGGCTCTTCATCGACTACTTCTCCTAAATGGTAACTAAGCTAATAGTAATTTGGAGCGATGCTCTGTAGGCTGCGATACAACAGAACATGATTAACCCTACATCCCGTGATATTAAAATTAACATGAATTTCAATGCTTATATATCGTTAGAAATTAATGATGTGAATGACTTAGGATATAATTACAAAGTTTACTTATATCAATGGGTATCAACGTGATTTTTCATGTTGCTTTGCAATATTGTAAGCAAAAGTCAGGAGATAAGATTTTATCTTATTTGACATTCTGTCTAATTTAAACTGAACAATTTTGATACTGCATATATTCTATCAAACTATTTTATATGTGATATTAAATATATAGAAATTGTATTATATGTACCAAATACCCATTGAACGAGAATGCTGAAATTGCATTTTTTGTTTTGTTTTGCTTCCTGACTGAAATATTACATATTCTGATGAGTTATCACTTTCCAGTGTTCACGAACGTTTTAATCCAGGATTGCGTGATGGAATATTTTTTGAAATTTCGTTGAGTATGCCTGTCCCATGGGTCGCGCCCTCTGGTGACGAAACGCGTCAATGACGTCGAAATATATATATATATATATATATATATATATATATATATATATATATATATATATATATATATATATATAGACCACTCTTCCCGAAGTAGCGAGACTGTGTTGCAGAATTACGTCTGCTTTGTCATTGCGCAAAATACAAACATGTTAGTGTGCTGCTAGTCGATGGAAGGCAATTTTATTTTTGTGACGTCGATTGGTACACCCAAAAGCACAATGTCACGCGCGCATGTTTACGTGACACCCTATATCCGACAGCCACGCGCACGCGAAACGGCGTATCTTCATCTTCCGGGAAAGT